ATATATATATATATATATATATATATATATATATATATATAGTAAAAATATAAATAAATGTATACATTAAAAAATTAATTTTTTTAATGGGTTTCAGGCACAGATAATTTCAGCTGTATGTACAAATGCGTCAATACTGGAGCCAACCGAATTCAGCAATTTAATTAATTTTTTCATTTTTATTTTTTTTGCTATTTCTCGCGTTTGTCTGTATCCCGCGCCGTATGCGGGGTCATCGTCTTTCTCCATTTCAGCTAATCTTCTATTTATTATTTTTAATTCATATTCTGTTAAATACAGCTCGTACTCGTATGCATATGATGGTTTGCTTTCTTCTTCTCGCACTTCTTCTTCTTCTTCGTCTGTTGCTGCTGCTGTTGCTGCTGCTGCTGTTGCTGCTGTTGCTGCTGCTGTTGCTGCTGCTGTTGCTGCTGCTGTTGCTGCTGCTGTTGCTGCTGCTGTTGCTGCTGCTGTTGCTGCTGCTGTTTTTTCTGGTGTATGTAGACCTCCTTTTGTGTTCTGTGTTTGGTTTGTGTTTGCATCGATAGAACGAACAGAAGTGGGAGAATTTGCATTTGCAGTAGTGTGCAATATTTGGGGTGTATGCGCAGACAGCTGAGAAACCTGACCGTTAGTGTTTTCTGTTGCGAGATATTTATTATAATTTTTTTCTGTTTCCTGTTTATATTTGTTGGTTTTTTCTTGTATTAGTCTGCGCACCGCCTGCAGCAGCGTTTCTGTTTCTCTTAGCCCGCCAACTTCTTTGATTGTGGGTGTAGTTTTTGGTTGTATTCCTCTGTATCTAAGAAGTTGAATTATATTATTTCTTTTTTTTTGTAGTGTTTCTACTCTGAGTTGCAGCGCACAGGCGAGCACGCAGTTGCAGAGCCCCTCTTCTGCGGCTAAGTCGACGCGAAAGCCCTCAATGCCGTCAGCTGTAAGCCATATAAATGCGTGCAGCAGCTCGTGAATTAAGTGACCGCAGACGAGAGCTGCGGGTACACCGCGAGAAAGCAGAATGCGCTGTACGACGTGGTAGGTGTACGTACACCTGGGCTCTTGAGTTTCAGTTTTCGCTGAATTTTCTTCGTCACTTTTGTTTTTCTTCTCTTCGCTGTTGGGGTTTTCTTCTGTTCTCTTTGTATGGCTTTTAGATTCACTTTCTCTTTCTCTCGTTTCTTCTCTCTTCTTCTTTTCTTCTGCGTAGTATGTTGCGGGAAACGTCAGTGCTCTTGTCTCGCACCGGCCGTATACGTTTGAGTTTCCGCGGCCTCTCGCGAGCTGCAAATGCCAAACAGTTGAAACATCGAACGGCAGCTGCTGCACTTCTTCTCTGCTGTTGCTGCGCATGCAGCACCAGCTTCCTTCTCTCCCTTCTCCCTCCTGCTGCTGCTGCTGTTGCTGCTGCAGGCGAGCTGCATTGGCTGCAACTGTTTCTGTGGTGAGGCTGATGGTGCAAGCACCTTGCTGGGGGTCTTCTGCTGCTTTCCTCAGTATTTCTAAGCACGAGCGAACTTCTGGCTGTTCATGTGGCCGCACGAGTCGCCGATTGAATTTAATAGAAAACAAAACACGCAGCAGATAGCGACATTTATGTATGAGCGGCTGCAACCCCTCTTCGTCTATAATTGGGTTTATTAGGCGGCACTGGCCGCATAGGTTTAAACCCCCATAGTTTAGCAAAGGAGCAGAACACTGCAGTTTATTATATTCAGAAATATATAAAAAAGAAACGGCTTTCTTGCAGCATGAGTTGCACTGAGGCAGCCGTCTGCATGCATCACAAAACAAAACTTTTGGCCAAGTTGAAATGTAGTTTTTCGTGCGACGCAGTATTGTGTTGCAGTACGTACACCTGAACAAAACAACACCGTCAGAAAGCTTCGCTTCTTTTGGGTTCTCCACTTCACCCCAACCCATTAAACAAGGCTCACGCTCCTGCAGGCTGCACTCAAAGTCAAGCGAAACCGCATCCTTTGCTGCTGCTGCTGCTGCTGCTGCTGCTGCTGCTGCTGCTGTTGCTGGTGGTGGTTTAGCTGCTGGTTTGGGTGCAGGAGCAACAGCAGCTGCTGCAGGAGCAGCAGGTTTAGGTGGAGCGAGTACAACAGAAGGCTGTGGAGGGGGATGATGATAAACAGCAGCAGCTGCTGCTGCTTTTGTTGCTGCTGCTGCTGCTGCAGCAGGTGTGTATGTAGGGCGCCGCGGGTAGTGTTCAGGGAGGAGGTATTGCTGTATTTCTTCTTTATGCGGCAACCGAGGCTCCGAGGTTGTTCTCTGCAGCGGCTGTTCTGCTGCTTGCTGGGGTGTCCATGCAATGAAAGAGGATCCCTGTCGCGAGGGCGGAACGAAAGTAAAGGATTGCTGCCGCGAGGGAGAAGGAGAAGAAGAAGAAGAAGGGGGAGAAGCAGCAGAAAAAGATGAAAGAGATGCAACAGAGCTCGTGCGTGATGACCCCCAAGATGACGGCGGCGGCGACGCAGGCAGAGAGCTGCAGCCTGCATTGTACGAGAAAGCAGAACGAGGGGGGCCGGGGCGGGGGGCGTGAACCCCCCCTCTATAAACTTGTTTATTGGGGTTTTGTAAACTCGCGAGAAACATCTGCTCCGACAAAGAGGGGCCGCATGGCCGATGAGGCGATGCAGAAACTGCGGAAACTGAAACGCCTCTATCGCCAGGCGCAGCTGCCGCAGCTTGGCGGTGGTGATCAGAGGAATTCGATTGACCCATTTTGTTGAAAAAACTAAAAATAATTTAAATTAAATAAATAAAATACTGAAATTCAATGAAAATGGCTTTATTTGATAGTTTTAGAGCGGTTGCTTCTAGCTGCACACCATACATATGCAGGTCGATTGTTAGTACCGCTCCCGCAGCAGCAGAGAAACAACCAAGGAACGGGGGGTTTTTTGTGCTAAACTCTGAAAATTATTTGTTTAATTAATATTTTAATTGTATTTTATTTTTAAATTCAGAAATGTAGAGAAGTTTTTCTCTATTTCTTCCGCGGGATGCTGCAGGCGTCACACACTGCAGGGAACGGACAATGGCAGCCGCGGTCGCGCGCCTCAGCGACGATGAGTGGTTAGCAGCTGAAATGCAGAAATTGTGAAAAAAATATTTATAAATCTGAGTTTATTTCTTTAATAAACTGTTGTTTTATTCATTAAAAACTTTAAAAGTATTTTATAAACATAGAGAGCACCCTCAGCCGCCGATTGCTCTCCGTGGAGGCGAGAAGGACCAGACCAGCGAAGCAGACTCAGCGGTGAAAAAATTAATAAAAAGAGTTTTATTAAAAATATTAACAATATTAATATTATTAATAAACAAAACCGAAATTATATTCAATTCAATTCAAATCCTACGCTGCAGCTAAACTCATGCTGGCGTTATTTTTCTTAGAGTTGGGTTTCACCCAGCTGCAAATTATGTAATTTCTGCTGCGGAGAAATTCAGAAATAAATTAATTCAAATAAATAAATTCAAGTGGCCAGGTGTTCTCAAGGGGAGGAGAAGAGATAAAAGAAAACGCACATCTATGAATATCAGTAGCAACAAACCATGTTATGTTGAGACGAAGACTACCGGTAATAATCCATACACAGCACACAATATATATATATATATATATATATATATATATATATATATATATATATATATATATATATATATATATATGCTCGTGCATGTGTGTATACCGATGTGTAACAAATTAGTTTATAATATAAACAAATTTGCGTTTATAATGTAAACTAATTTGTGTTTATGATATAAACAAATTTATGTTTATTATATAAACGCATTCACTTTCATAAAACAAACAAATTG